TTCCACCTACAACAGAGAGACTCAGTGTATTTAGCAAATATGTGATAGGCAATAGGTTGGTGCAGGTTTCCATGTTACTGCACAGCCACGCTGAACAAAGCAGTATTGGATTTTCCCTGCCTCAGTACTGTTAAAACCTGGAGTGGAGGCTCTGTTGGGGAAATTCCTGGGAAGGGAAATTGCCTTGGTAACTAGCAGAATCATCTTGTTGAACTAAACTGTCCCGATAGCACCATATGGCATTTTAAAAGCAGATAAATATCCACTTAGGATGCTGAGCACCTTGTAACCAGAGATGGGGCAGCATCATTGCTTACATGGATACTTTAATCCCATGAGGTTTCTAGAAGTTGCCCCAAATGCCACAGACTTGTCCCATTTTGCTTGCTTTGTTATTAAGGCTAATTTGGCACATGTAGCAAGGGATAGGGAAAAAATAATTTTCACTCACATCCCTGAACCATAATTCTATAGATGGTTGTTCAAAAGCATGGCAAAAATATGCAAATCAAAACATTAAAAGCAAGCCACTGCATGAATACCAATGAAGAGAGCTTAATAATAAAATAAAGGAAACCATTTTTTTGTCCATAGCCACAAATAATGAGGCCTTCTAAAATAATGTCTTGGAAGTTGTAAAGGGCTGAATTGAAGCACCAAGGCCTCAGGCATCCTCTGTCCTAATTTAAATTAAATACGTCCAGGCTGAGGAGGAATTCTTCCACCAGTGGAGATGGGAGAATTACTATTGGACCAAAGATCATTTTTTGCTGTTTCCAGAATTGTCACTTTTTTTGTTCTTCTGAAAATGGTAACCTTCTTAGCTCTATGAGAACCAGCTGTTCCACATACATAGCTTTCTTCATCACTGCATTGCTATAACGTAAGAAAGCTCCACATAATGAACCTCTTGAGTATCTGTCAGGGTTTGGGGGAACATCAACCTTATGATCCTCCTCAAGATATGTCAGCAAGAGCACCAGATTACATGTCTGCATGGCATCTTCAGTGACCGTGCAAAACGCACTTGTAGGTCTACACTTAAAATAACAGTAAACTAGAACAGTGGGAGGAATTCACAAGGCATATACAGTTATGAAAGACTAACACTGGATGGCAGCAAGCTCTGTTTCACTGCAGTGGATTCAATGCCTCCACAGAACAAATGAATACTGTACTAACCTGTATACCTGCTTTAACCATACTGGATACAATCTGTGGTTCAAACATTTAAAAGTCTGGCCTGTGTACATTTTGTGTGTCCGTGCCTATGCCAGCCGAGTAATGTGTTGCCAGTACCTATCAGAATTCAGAAGCAATCCAAGGAAGAAACCAAAGAGAATCCCAGGGTGTTCACTCCTCTTGCTGCTTTAGAGTTATCTGGTGAGCATTATTACATTGTGACTCCTTCATAACTGAGGTTCTCCTGTCATTATATATCCTTCATGTTCCATTAAAGCTGAGGAAGTAACAGCAATTCATTCTTCGTGTTAACTGAATACAAATGTCTGACCATTGGATTTGGTACACATAGCTCAAATCAACACGGCATTGTTAATTACTATTTAGGAAACTGATTCACTTCTCTGGATTAGTGTCAGCTCCCCACTACCTAGTTACAAGTCAACCTATACTTACTGCTCCACAGTGAGCATGTGAATTTCTTATTTATTTTATCTGTTACTTCTTCTATCACTGGAAGAATCACAGGTTTAAACTATCTTACAAAGGCTTAGGGCAAGCAATTAAGCTATTTGCATTGACCATTGCAAAATAAAAGTGGGGGGCGAGGGGGCCAGAATCTTCCACTAGTTTCAACACTGTGTAACAAGAGAGAACATCACAAAGAATTTCTAATCATCACAAAAGGTAACTCTTTTGTAATATCTGTTACAGTGAGGTCTTGACTTGAGAACTTAATCCGTATTGGAAGGCGGTACTCAAGTCAAAAAGTCTGTAAGTCAAGTCTCCATCGACCTACAGTGCATTGAAAACCCATTAATCCCGTAACAGGCCGTTTTTATTCCATTTTGGTTTTTTTCTGGTCTGTAAGTCAAATCTCAGTCTGCAAGTCAAACCTAAATTTTGCGGCCAGAGAAGTCTGTAACTCAAAAAGTCTGTAAGTCAAGCCGTCTGTAAGTCAAGGGTCCACTGTAATCATCTTCAACTATATGGCACAGTATTTAAAGGTCATCATTGATGAGGAAAAATTAATTATATTGCTCAAAGTGACTGATTAAAAGTAGAAGTGTAATAACCATTTAGGCTTGGATAACTCATACTTGAACATCAAGAGCAGAAAATCACTCATTTTATGTTGGTGGCTTATTCACTTTCTCATACCATACCCAACAATGTGATGCCATATAGTATAGAGAAAGGCTATTGAAAACTATCCCTTCTCCTTGAAAAATCGAAATTTGCACCAAAGACAATGAATTTTTTCCAATAGATTTGCAAAATATTTACTCCATCAGCAAAAAGAAATCATTAGGCCCTTCCATTCACCCAATCCATATAAAAACATAGTGAGGTGTATTCCACTAGCCACATGATAACTACAGTATTTTCTCCTACAACTTCAATTCTTAAACTGCTACAAGATCACAGAGGAAGTAACAGAGCAAAATACTAAATATTTGATATGTTTGTTGTAATTGCTTGTGATGCTGAAGCTACACGAAGCAGCTCCATGTACAAGTTTTCATGTAATCTACCATGTCAAAGTTTTAATCAGACCATACTGACTGACGTACATCTCCATAATCTAGAACATTTTTCCAAGAATATCTGGGACCTTTTGTCAAACATATGCTCCACCACTGAGCTATGGTCCTCCCTGTTAAATATATACTTCTCAACCAAAAACCAAATAAAGAAATCAAAACAAAATAAGGTCCACCATATAAGATTTAAGAAAAACTATTTCAGACTTCATATACCAGTACTCAAATTTCAGTGGTTTCTAGAAGCTCTATGATACCTTTTTATTTGGTTGGGCTACTAATGGCATGGAATACAGTATATTTTTTATTGATGGAAATACTGAATTTATTATTTCAAGTACTACCACCCAGCTGAAATCTTCAGAATGAATAATATCATGATAATAAGCGTGAAAAGCTTATAAATTGCTAATCAAGAAACAAATAGCGGAGGTAAAGGGAAGCACTAGAGGCCTACTTTTATAACTAAACCTCCATGACATTCATCAGACAGCTGTGTATTTACAACCTGTGCACTGTCAGCAAGCTGCAAATCTACCAGACTTGAGGAGGAGGGCAAGGAAATCACAACCTATCATCAGAAGAACTCTTAATCTCCAATCCTGTAAAGGCTTATTTAATATGCAGTGAGTTTTTCTGTTGGCGTCACTGAGACAACACTAAACAACTTCTCACAACAGGCTTTATTTATCTGTAAGGCAATTATGTTATTCTGCTACAGGCTCCCTTTAGATCAGTGGTCCCCAACCTTTTCCCAAGCACGGACTGGTTGGGTGTGTGTGGCAAGCTTGCGGGGGGCCTGGCACACCCGCAAGAGTGTGTGGCACACCCACATGGGGCAGAGAGCGCTTGTGCACATGCTCACAGGGGGAGGAGATCTGTGTCCGTAGCCCCGTCCTGCCTAGGCCACGGACTGCTGCCGGGTTGCGGACCAGGGGTTGGGAACCCCTACTTTAGATGACAGGTTAGCAGCCTTTAGATTAGTTTGCTTATATAGCATCAAGTCACTTCTGAATTATGGCAAATCTTACAGGGTTTTTGAGGTATATGAGATGCTCAAGGAGTGGTTTACCTTTGCTATCATCCAGTGAGTTTCCATGGATGAGGAGAAATAGAACCCAGGTCTTCTGAGTCCTAGTCTGGCATTCTGTCCACTATACCACAGTGACATTCACATTATTTGTTAGTTCAGTTTAGCAGCAAAATAAATTAGATAATATGCCATGTGTGGATTTGCTGTTATAGAGTAAATTTTTAGTTAAAGCAACTCTGGCACTATCAGTTAAAAAAAGGGCATGCTTTTCAATAAAATTATGCAAATACCTGCATTTAGTCTTGAAGACAGGGACTTGGAATAATCCCTTTCTAGCAAAGTCACTACTAAAAGACTAGCTTCTTAAAAACATTCTACTAGGCTACTAGGAAAGCAGCAGCAGTTGTAATGTACAGTTCCATGGTTCTTTATGGATAGAGGTATTATGAGAGATATATACAGCAAGAGACAGGAAAATGAGCTAGGAAACTGGATTAATCTGCATGTAGGACCATCTTTATGGCTAGGCTCTCTCTTGTTTCACTTCCAAACTATTGCAAAGGGCTCATGTTACTCTGCCAGGTTGAATCTCCTTCTTCATTTTGGCTCTGATCAGGCTCCCTCAACAGGCACTATTGAATTAATTCAATGTAGGCCAGCATTGTCCTCTCACTAGCTGTCCCTGGGAAGAATAACCAGCAAAGCAGTTATATTTTACATCTGCCTCACACTTCACACTGATGTATAAAAATATATAAGCACCCCTTGAAAAGAAACAGACAGACAGACAGACAGACAGACAAACAAATAAATAAATAAATAAATAAAATATTTTGGCAAAATTAAATAAAATGTTTTAAAAATTGGCATATTTTCAAAAATAAAGGAAGAATAAAAAATATGCTCCCCGGCCATCAAGCTCTACCTGTACTATTAGTTTTGGTCATTTTTGTTCCTCCCTTGCAATGTTTTCACAATTTTCAGATTCTTCCATTTCCACTAATAGGACATCAAAGAGCTGCACTGAAATGGAAAGGAATGATTAGTGAACATGTTCCCCATGTTAAAGACCAGGGAGCATCATTACTTTTACCCTCCTTGCTATCAAGAAAATCACATTTTCAGACACTTGGGAAGGCATCAAAAACTACATAGCAGGAAAAACAGGGGCTGGGGATGAAGAGGCACGGATAAGCTTCTCAAGTTAACTTGATGGAGCCATTCAAATGAGTCACACTGAGACATACAGGGTACAATGGGAAGATGGCAGTTATACAACACAATGAATTGAACAGCAGGTACGAAAGCCACAATGCAGTACTTGGGTTGGGCTTTCCTCTTACAGAGGCAGGTCAGTGCTGTTATGCCGTGTTTTCCTAGAAGTCCCATCATCTCTAGGCAGTGCCCTCTGCAAGCTGGACATGGCTGCTGTCTTTTTAAGGTCAATAACTGCGTAGGAATCCGTCCTGCGGGGTGGGCGGGCAGCAGAACGTGAGGTATGGGGGACTGGTGTGCTTTGGCGCCTTTGATGGGGGTTGTCCTCCAATTCCACCTGGATATAGTTGAGTTGCCTTGGCTGATCCAAACACGGCCGGCGGAAATCAAAATTGAAGACGCTGGGTGTGCAACTGCGACGTCGTTGCAAGCAACCCCCCCTACGCAGGCCCCCATGCAGCGCAGCACTCTCTGAGTTCATGTAGTTTCGCAAAGGATCATCTTCCTTGGGCTCAGGATAACCATTGGGGGAAGGCGTCATTGCATCCCCTGAGTCCTCCTCATCATGGTCCTGCCTCGGGGGCTGGCATTCCCAGACAGGTGGGAGCGACGGCAAGTTCTCATAGTGCAGTAAGGTGGTCCGCCGATGAGAGCAGCTGTGAGGGTTCAGATCTTCTCGGGTCATTTTCAAGTGCCCATTGCCCCGACGGAGGAAGGAACCTCGAGAGGGCAGCAGCCCATTGATGTTCTCATAGACACACTTGGGGGTGATACATTCATCTTTGCACTCATTGTTGTTGTTGTTAGGGGGGCAGATGTGCCCTGGGCAATCCCAATGGGGCCGGCAGAACCCATCACATTTCATCCTATGACTGTAACCGGGGGCAGGGCCCAACACAAACTTCACCTCTCCTGGCTGTAGGTAAATCTGGGGGTTTCTGTCCTCCAGAGAGCAGATGTGGTTGGGATGAGAAATAGGCGGATGGACTTCAGGCAAGGAGTGCATACAATGATGTCCCCTCATCTCTTCCTCAGTCCTAGCAGTGTTCACATATGTGTGGGACTGCAAAGAGAAAAGATGGTTACAAAAGTGATGAGGGGAACAAAAGTTAGCAAGAAACATATTCCCAGGGGCAGGATGAGGGGGCCCAAGAAAACAGTGACAAGTGCTGATATAACTGGAGAAATGTTGGTGGGTCTTTTGGGGGGGTGCAAGGAGAAGTGGGACATGCAACTTAAGTAGATCAGGCAAGCATAAAGTGACACGAGAGATCTCTGAGGAAACCTACCTCATGCTGAGCTTTAAATAAGACTACCTTCCTAGACAAGGGGACAATTTATAGGAAAAATACAGTGGAATTCCTAGACACACTAAGGATTACAGTAAGTCCCACTAAACACAGTAGAATCGCAGAACACATTTCTAATTAAGCATGCACAGGTGTCTTTGTTTGTTTTTTAAATGAATCACACACAGAGTTTGTGAGCGCTGTTGGACTGATGTCACATTTGCTGGGGAAGTTCACATGGTAATGGCAACCAGTAGTCCATTTCCAGCAGCTAAGGCTGGTATTCCAACAGCTGCCCCAGCTGGAGAGAGCAGACCTTTCCTCGGACATCCATTTACTAGTGGCATTCCAGGAGGAGTACTATAAAAAGTTGTACAGAGAACTATTTTTAAAATGGTACCAAATTTCTTTTAGTGCAAAATGCAGCTGCTGTGGCAGGGGTGAGGGTGTTAGATGACCAGTTTTTTTCTGGCACCTGTCTTATACTTGCTATATTAGTTGCTGATATATTTGCGACTCACTTTGAAGTGTTGCTCTTTCATTTTAAAATCACAAACATTTTGGAATCTAGTGACCTTACAGACCACCTTTGCCTGTATCAGTCTGCCTGAAGTCTGTATCTGAAGTCCTACTTACAAACCCACTTAAAGGCCAGCACATACAGCTGCAGAAGAACTAGAATGAAAAATACCACCACCAGAGAAATATGAAACCCTTGCATGCAGAAATAAAACAGACTGATTTCAGATGCAACATTTTCCTCCTGATAGCAGCTTTTTCCATAATTAGGACTGAATGTTAGCATACCGTACACATCCTTTGCTCCCAAAAGCAGAGTCACAGTGATGCAGAACAGTATAAGTAGAAAAAGTGTCCATTTTTCTTAAAGTAGTATGAATTGGTACACTGGTCTACATTTTCTATATATTATATGAAGAACGTACTTGCTCATCAGGAACAATAAGGGCATGTGTAGAGTCCTCACCAAGTGAGGAATGCCTTAAACTGCTCACAGCAGCGTGTCGGGCTGCAGGGCAAGATGGAGCCTCTGGTGGGAAGCTGTGAAACCCATTGGGAAATCCTGGAACCGTATAGCCTAAAGCTGTAGAGAGATGAAATCAACATTAGAAGATGGAAACAATTAGTGGAGTTGCCAGAATAGTAAATCAAAAGTTGGAAAAGCTAGTTTTAAAAAATATTTTATTTCTTTTCTGATTGCTGACTCCTAACAGAGCACAGCAGAGGAATAAAATTAAGGCAGACCTCAGGGAGCACGCAAACAGGAAGAGCTAAGAAGAGTTTGACAAGAGAGCGATAGTAAGCAAAGAGTCTACTAGAGGAAGAGACAAAAGAAAAGGAGAGACCAAGGAGACAAAGATGGAGAGGTGAGTGATTTTGATTAACATCAGGAAGTGACCATGAAAAACCAATTCCTCATTTAGAAGCACTGTGTGCTCAGTTTCAAAGGAAGGGGCGTGTCTTGATAACTGCAGAAAGCCATTAGTAGCAGCTATTAGGAGGGCCTTCCTGTTTACTGACTCTTAACAGAGTACAGTAGAGAAATAAAATTGAGACAGACCCAACCAGAGCAAATGAACAGGGAGAACTTACAGAAGTTTGACAGGAAGGCCTATAACAAAATTTTGTGTTTCTGGATATAGCTATATATTAATGGACTTTCCAAGCATCCTTCATGGCACACAAGACAAAGGAAAGGGCACTCATAGACACATAGAAGAAAATAAAAAGGTAAAGGGATTATGACAGGAAGAGACATTTCAGTGCTAGTGACCTGCAAAATGTGTGCCACGTTTGATTACATGCCTGAGAGCAACACAGCATACACATGCAGCTAGGAGAATCTGGCAGTTGCAATATAAAATAATATTTTTTCTGAGTTTTGCACATGATAGACATACACCTGCAAAGAAAACATGAATCCTCTGCCAGTAAATTAATGGAGCTAGATTACTGTATTTGCCGGCGTACAAGGCGACTGGCCGTATAAGACGACCCCCCAACATTTCCACTCAAAATATAGAGTGGACGGCTCTGCTGCGGTGCTGGCAGCGGCTGCCCGGGGCTCTGCCCGGGCCCGCCCTGGAAGTTCATGACCAGCGGGGAGGAGGGCGAGGAAGAGAGGAAGTGGATGGGTGGGCGGCGGCAGGAGGAGGAGGAAGAGGGGAAGCAGGCAGGTGAGCAAGTGCGCAGCTGGCTCAACAGCGAGAGGGCGAGGAACAGGGGAAGCAGCTGGGTGGGTGGTGGGAGGAGGAGGAGGAGGAGGAAGAGGGGAAGCAGACGGGTGGTGGGCGAGCGAGCGTGTAGCTGGCTCAGCGGCGCAAGGCGGTGGGATCTGGCTGCTCAGGCATGGCCGGCTCTGCTTCCCTCCCTCCATCCAGACCAACTGCCTGCCTGCCTGCCTGCCTGCCTTCCTCCCCGGCCAGCGCGGCCCCACGTCACTCACTCAATGGCAGCGGTGGTGGCTCCTTCCTGGCCCAACTGAAGTGCACCCGGCGTACAAGATGACCCCCCCCACTTGGAGGCATGTTTTTGGGGCCAAAAAAGTCATCTTGTATGCCGGCAAATACGGTACTGCCCATAGCTAAATGCTGGAGTCCCTAAGAAAAAACTAAACACAAAACAAGAAATTTTATAATCAAGAGAGACATTCAGAGCCTACTGATTCTCACAGATGTGCTAGGTTTCTGCAGTTCCTTTGATGGGTTCCAGCTGAATTACATTGGAGAAAACATATCTAAGAACTGTTTTAAACAGGTAACTGGCGGGGTGGGGTGGGAGATACTCAGTCAGCTGATGTAAACCTTTACAGTAAACTTACCACATGGGACACAAACAGTATGTACTAAATCCCCACTGAATTTTTTAAAAAGCCAAAGCAAAATTAAACCTTTAGTACCACCCTACTAGAAGGCAGGGGAAGTGGTGGTGCCGCAGAAGCCTCTGTGCTGCAAAATTGGAAGACCAGCAGCCATAAAATCGAATCAATGTGACGGAGTGAGCTCCTGTCAATTGTTCTAGCTCCTGCCAACCTAGCAGTTCAAAAGCATGTAAATGTGAGTAGAAAAATCGGTACCACCACGGTGGGAAGGTAACGGCATTCCATGTCTAGTCGTGTTGGCCACATGACCACAGATACTGTCTACAAACACTGGCTCTATGGCTTGGAGACGGGGATGAGCACCGCGCCCTAGAGTCAGACACGACTGGACTAAATGTCAAGGGGAACCATAACCTTTACTTTTACTAGAAGGCATCAAACAGCCCATGTGGCCCCACAAAAATAGTGCTAATCCTTTTGGAACAAACCATGGTTGAGATTAAAACTGCTCTAAAATGCTCTAAAATTGACAGATGAGCAGCACATGATTGTGTTTTCACTTCCCTCTTTCTACCAAGACTTGGGAGAACCTTACTGTTTGGTGTCTGAGGCAGTTCCAGTTCAGCAGCATGACTGTTCCGTGTGATGATCACAGGCTCCTCCACCACATTAATGCTGTTGCACTGCATCAGGTCCTGTAGCAAGTTAAATATCTCTTCTGCTCTTGAGCATTTGAATGCAAAAATTCCTATGCAAACACCAAAATAATATTGGGGGAAAGAGAAGGAAAAGTTCATTTCTTATGAACTGAGTCTAGTTCTTTAAAAACGAACAAGGAATATACATGTAATGAAAAGAATATACTTATGGAATGCAAATACAATTAACTTTAAAAGCTCATTATCATAGATATCAGCTCCTAATAGGTTTCACAGAGTTCTGACTAATGCTGTATTTAATAAAAAACTGAAAAAATAATATGAACTGAAAGAAGAGAGTGAACGCTTTAACATATAGCTTAACATGCAAATCAAGACCTAAATGGCTGAGGCTGAAAAGGCAACTATTCTTAAAAGGGTTATTAGGGGATATAATTATTACCAATTCACCTGATCTATATCCCGCCCATCAGGCCTTCAAGGTAGCTTAGAGCAGAAAATTAATATACAAATACCCAAGATGGTCAGCACCAGTAAGACTAGCAGCAAAAATAAAACAATGAAACAAAGGAAGCCACAGGCTTGAGTTTACAAGAGCTGAGGAGGGCAGTTGAAGACAGGCCATTTTGGAGATTGCCCACTCATAGGGTCCCCTTAAATCAGAAGTGACTTGACAGCACACAACAACAACAACTAAAAGCCAGATGCATTTCTACTGTGCACTAACTTAAAGTGTGAAAGCAAGGGACCTGACTGGAAGGAGCTCCTGCTCCTTGGTGGAAGTAATCTGATTCCTGAGTACTAAAATTGCCACTTGAAGCAGGGCTTCCTGAAAGGATATAAATACACTACTAGCCGTGTGTGAGAAGACCACTTCATATGAGAGATGGTGTTTCCTGAGGTTCCCTTTATACCCTGGCTATTGAGAATTGTGGGGGGGGGGAGTTCTAGCATTTCTACCAATGAATCAGACACGGAGAAGGAGGGCTTTGATTTGAATTGGGGTTTTTGCGCTATTCTGACCAAAAAGAAAGGCACTTTATAAAATATTTGAACATATTTAAAAACACCTCATACTGTAAGTACAAATGCACATGGTACAAACTATCTTGTCACAATTAAAGCATACGTACACATGGTATATTTTACTGTTACTGCCATGCTACTGGGTCTTTTTCTTCCCAAATTAAGAAATAAATAATTCAAACATTATCTTCTCTGCATGTCCATCCCTCTTTTTATTCATTTATCCTTCCCCTACTTAAGTGAAACATAGAAAACCGAGAAGGGTAAAAGAAAAAAATAAGAGAAGAGGAAAGGAAAGGAATAAAATAAAGGTCTTGATTCCCATGGTTGACGTTGCTAGTATTACTTGGTATACCATGGTGTATCTTTTTATAAAACATACACAATAATTTAATGACACCATCAGAAATAAGGGCAGTATGCTGATCTTGAGTAAAATTAGTCAGCAACAGTATTGATAAGGCACAAAGAACACAACGGGTCATTCCCCATCTCATTTGTCAGCAATAAATTAGGAGCCTGACCTTCTTTGCAAATCACAGCAATATTTTTATTGATTAACATGAACTGAAACTGGTAGAGGAAGAGGGACAGCACCTTGCTTTTTATACTAAATGTAACACCTGCCCTGCCATGTAATAAAACATTTCTATCAATAGCCTGGCTATGCTGAATTAACCAATTGGACATCAGCACGCACAAACATGCACAAAAATCCCCATAGCAACAAGGATGAGAACATGGCAACGACAGCTGCTGTTCTGAAGAAAACTGTTCTCACTGTTGTTGTTTTAAGAAAGCAACATAAAATACCCAACACCCAATTTTTCCTATATCTTCTCCAGCACAAAGAGGCTGATCCCTCAAATAAAATGAGTATTAAAAACAAAGCCGCAAGGGAAATAAAGTAAAAAGGGGAAATGCAGATGAGTTTTAAAAAATAGTAACAGACACTTACATTTAAGTAGAGGAACCCTACAAAACTTCTGAACAAGAAACTGCCTATCTAGCCATACCATTTTGAATTACAGACTTGCATTTGTCTGTGGTTAACTTTTACATCCAGAGAGTATAGATCAGAGGTTCCCAACCTTCGGTAACCCAGGTGCTCTGGAACTACAACTCCCAGAAACCTTCACCACCAGCTGTTCTGGCCAGGGTTTCTGGGAGCTGCAATCCAAGAGCACTTGGGTTACCCAAGGTTGGGAACCACTGGTATAGATACAAACTATTGATGCAGATTAGTGTTAATTGTGAGAAGAAAACATATTTCAAATTGAAAAGTAAGCAGACTTCATGAGCCCCACTTTCCTTCAGTTCCCTCTCACACACTGTGGTATCACATTACAAATACATTTATGAAAATCATAGTTACTGTAAATGATACTTCTGTGCATAGAGATCAAATGCAAATTTAGCAGACTTGCAGATCACAGTTACCTGGCTTACAGTGATACACATGTAAACCAGAACCTGTATGTATAATGAATACTTTAGAACCCTCTTTGTGGTTCTCGGGATCTATGAATAGTTATTTCAAAGAATGTAGGGATGGGGTAACGTTTTGAGATAACAAACACTCTCCCTTGCTTGCTGAAGGTGGAGGGCTACTCAGTCAGGCACCAAAGATCTAGAAAAAACATACAATGTTGTGTAATATGGAACACCTGAAAGATGTAAGTTACCTCAAATTTTACCAGGAGAGGGATTCCAATGTCCCAAACTTCAACACAGTCACAAATATTCAAAGGCTATCAATAGCTATCATGTCATGCCAATATATTACACCTCCAGTATCAGTATTGCCTCTGATGTATATTGGCATAATGACATATATATATACTACAGTTTTCAGTTAAATAAGTCTATCCTACATGGAGTGAACTGTTTCTGCACAAGATCCAGATCTACCACATGCCCCAGGGAGAGGAATCGCCTTTTCTTCTAATTTCATGGCATTCTCTAGCACAGATATTTGGGAGCCAAAGCCTCTGGTGAAAAAGTAACATACCCTGTCCAGTCAGGCAGCGACGCCCACTCTCAAAGGAGAAGAGGTTAGAGTCATAACCATAACGACGCAAGCAAAGGTACGGCCACCGAACAGCATCACGTTTGTGCGTGTGCAAAACAAGCTCCCTCTGTGTCAACTCCATAATTCCTGAGCCCAGCTCATTGCCCTCATCGTCAACATTTGTTACCTGTAAGGGTAGCAAAAACCATTGTCAGAACCTCCAGGTATTAAGCCAAATGGCACATTAGGAGGCAGGGTAGGTACCATATAAAATTATATTCTGGTGAAATGAGTTTAAGCAGGTGCACAGGTTGAGCAACCTCTTCTTAAGGACAACCATATTTACTCTTATAAAATGGGGCAATTCTTTAAAGAATTTCTTCACCACCAGGGAAATGTATCAGTCTGATATACCTTGGAACTGCTAGCCCAGTGTCTAGCAAGAGTCCAGCTGCTCCGTTAATGACTCTTATATGGGGAAATGAGGAGTCCTCTTGTACACCCCAAGAGGCTCACAGCACATCCACCTGCTTCTAATGGCTTTATTTGTAGTTTGAAGCTACAAACATTGCACACTCACCCAACATTCATTGCTCAACATTAGATGAACTTTCTAATAGGCACTATCATGTAATCTTACTATGTTTGAGAAGTGTTAATATGGCCGTCTGTTGGCGCAAGGACAATGAAGAATCTGAAAGCATCTTTCAAGCAACCCCTGCTAGTTTTCTTAAAACTATGGATCAAAAATGAACAACTTGGCTCATAAGAAATTGCATGGTACACAGTTGGGCAGCACCTTTACTAAAATTAACCAAAATGTCCCAAACAGAGGAAGAGTACAAGTTCTCCAGAAGTCTTCTTCAAGTAGCATGTTCAGCAAAGCAGCAGGGGTGTACTCGTGTCTTATGGACAGATAAGGTTTTCCTTGGTTTCAGTTGTATCATGTGAGCAGCCGTTCCCTCTCCCACCAGGAAGATGAATCATATAGCCTCTGTGCCACCACTACTTAAACATACACAAAACAATGTTTCCAAACTTAAGGAAAAACAGCAACCTCAAGCTCATGAAAAATACCAAGAGGACTGCATCAGTCTCTTCTGTTAAACATGGGGGCTTTGAAGTGGATTAATGCCTTGGTGTCACAAAGTTTTTTATACATTAACTTATTCTGCTAATGCTACTAGAATAAATGTTATGCAAGATAAATTCATGCTTGTTACCTTAAACTTGGTTGGATGGTTGTCTGGAACCCTGTCTTTGCATGGGCAGCTACAACAACTCCCCATAATGTCAACACGTTGGACAAATCCTGAAACATAGGGGGAGGGGAACAGAATTTGGAAGCTGTAAGAATACATATCATTTCTCAGCAAAACCTTGCAAACGTTTCAAAATTTAAAGTACTCTAGAGACTGTGTGGAAGATTTAGAGAAGCAGGCAAAGCAATCTATAGCCCAAATCAGCTGTGAGGGAATTTGCATGGCAACTGTGATTATTTTTCAAGGCGAGGAATGCTCATATTTTATTAACATTAAGGAGGGCAATTAAAGATGAGCTGTAGCTGGCCAGAATAAAGACCATCTAATTCTTGCTGTGTTTAGGATTTCTCATTGAGAATATTTTCATAAGGCCCTATGGTAGAACTTCACAGGTGAAGCATATAAAGTTGAAACAAAAGTTGGCAGTTTTTAATTCTTACCCGGCCATGGCCGTTAGTTGTTTCTAAGGCAATGGGAAAAATTTCTACTTTCTTCCCTACTGCCCTTGGCTGGGTGTCATGATTAACCAGGACATCAAGCAGTTGTCTATGCCTTCATAGCACCTGTGACACCTTTCACCTGTTGCAAGAACAGAGTCAAGAGAAACAGAATGAATACAACAAGAAGGGAGTATTTGGTACTGGATGGAACCCTTTTAATTTCTAGAGAGAGCAAGAAACATTTATCATCATCACACTTTTCTGTGGAGTTTTATATCAGAAATGTTATCACATATCAGCACATATGCAAATGTATTTTTGAGAAAGAAGGGGCTACACATTTATCTTATAACAAACACATGGATTTGTGCATCATTTTAACATTTCCCAGTATTCTATATTACGGTAATTAAGTTTCTACTCTCTTCACAAAACCTGGGAACAAATCACCGCTAGAGTCACTTTTATGCAGGTACAGGACTATTAAGCTACTCCACGAAGTCAAGAATGTTCTGGTTAGGTAAAGAATTTTAAAATTGCACCATGATGTCATTCAGTCACAAAGATAGAAATAAGGCTCCTTGCTGTGGTGCGGAGAGAGAGTCAGGATTAATTCATACATCATTTAGGAACATATTTCCTGTTACAGATGTACATTCACCCAGAACTTGCCTTGTATAGTTTTTTCAGTCAGTTTTATTGGATTTTTTAACTGGCTGGGCTATCCATGGTGTTTGTGGATAAAAATTAAGAATGTATCAGTTTGTTACGTATTTTTTCAGATATGTTTTCATTTGGATAGCATTCTTGAAATAGACAATTGTAATGGGTTAAAGCTTAATTTCATTGCTTCAGAACTGTAAATAAACATTTGTGTAATCAGCTTTCTATCTTCATTAGTACCAATAAATTAATGCATTAAACAGAACTGTTATCTGATGACAAATAACTCAGAGATTCTTGCAGAGTGCAGGCAGCATACAAGTCGAATAAATAAATAAAATAAATAAGAAAAACTTAAAACGAAAAGTGTATACCTTAAGTTTGTTTTCTTGTTTTGGATTTGAGGTGGATGTGTAATAAAACTGAATATTTCAACTACTGTTTCAACACACACTTAGCTCTGAAAGCTAAGCAGTTATCTGTTGGTTGTTTAGCAATTTTAGGTGCAGCCCTCTAAGCATTCAACTGAGCTCTGCTTAACTAAATGGGAGTGATTTCTAAGTACAGTATGGATATGTATTATTGTACGTTCACATCCTGATTCACAGATTCCTTCACTGATGTGCACAGATGAGAAGGGATTACTCTGTCAGCAAAACCGAGAGAAGAGTAGCTGCTATTGAACAGCTCAAGAGAGATTGGACCACTCTCATATTTTTGTGCATGGGGTCATTACAATCAATAGTCTTGAACCAAAGGGTTACCACTAGTTAGACATATTTGTATCAAGTATGCAGCTTAACTCGAAATGCTTAAAATTGATAGCTTTCACTATGAACTTTTGTTTCACTCTTTTACTGTGTGTTGTTAAATCATTATTAGAACCTTGTAGAACCTTGACTTGAAAAGATAACTGCTTAAATAAATAAATAAATAACTTTGACTCAATAATGTAAAATGTATTACTAGTTTGCTTACAAACCTATGGTCTTGGAATGCATGGTTTTGGAGAGTAGTGCTTTGAATATAAGAAGCAATGTCTTTCCAACTGTATTTTGAGAGAGCTTGAAAGACAGAGGTTCCTCAGAGGCTTATCAGGAATGCTTCACTGGGAAGATTAGTTTATGCAGGCAAACTTTACTGAAAAGCAGCTTACCCACTACTAATGGTATTTCCTTTGTGAAGCTCTTTAATGATATAATGCAGAGCATGTTCCCAGACTATGCGTGGTAACTAATTCAGAGATTCAGAGTGTGTTTTCATCAGTATGCTAATGACATGCAACTCCATCCTTTTCATCTTCAGCCGATGAAGCTGTGCAGACCCTGGAATGCTGCCTGGCTGCGGCTATGGACTGGACAAGAGCTAACAAGCTGAAATTGAATCCTGACAAGATGGAGTTCATGTGATTGGAGGACTAGGATGCCTTTCGCCTGGTCCAGATGAAGTCACACTTGCCCTGAACAATCTGGTTTGTAATCTAGGTGTGTTCCTGGACCCAGCCCTGTAAAGAGAGAATCAGATCTCAGCCATGACCAAGTCTGCCTTCTTTCAACTGAGGCAGACTGTACACCTCTGCCCCTATCTTGGTGGAAAGACCTTGATGACATTGGTTCATGCACTGGTAGTCTGAAAGATAGACTACTGCAATGCTTTCTGCATGGAGCTGCCCTTGAATGTTGTTAAGAAGCTACAGTAAATGAAAAACGCAGCAGCCAGGCTGGTATCAAAAACATCATAATACAATCATATTTCATCAGTTCTAGTGCATTTCCACTGGCTGCCATTGTGCTTCTGGGCCAAGTTCAAGGAGCTATTGTTAACATTCAGAACCCTACATGTTTTGGGACCTTGTTACTTGTCAGAGCACCTCTCCCTCAGACTGATGTCCCATCCTACCCATATTTCCCACGCAATGATGCTACAGGTTGCCACTCCAAGGGAGGCCCAGAAATCCACTACTAGGAACCAGGCCTTCTCAGCAGTGGCTGTCATGCTATGGAACGCTCTTCCTGTGCAAGTACATCAGGCCCCAACCCTTCTCGCCTTCAGGAAAAAAACAAAGAAGACATGACTTTTTACTCAGGCTCTTCATACTCCTGGCACTGTTTAATTTAATTAAATGTTTAGATTAGTCTCTAATTTTTGATGACCCACATTTTTGTGGTTGATTGTTAATCTGTTGCCACCACATATCCTATTATAGATTTAATTTAAGTTAGGGCTTTGTCTGCTCTTTTGTTTAATGTCTTGATTGTTATTTATTATTTAATTTTAGTTTGCATTGTGAATGCTGTTATTGTAAGCCACCCAGATTAGTGGCTTGGCTACTAGATGGGCAGGATAAAAATTGAAACAAACAAACAAACAAACAAACCCTGAGTCCTAACAGCTCTCTGCAATGCCTCTCATGAAATGAGGCCTAAATTCAATACAGCACTGGTACTGCAGCACCAGTGCAAGAGACACCCATTCCTCATCCATCCTCCCCTGATGCCTTCAAAATTGCCTGAAAACTGGCTCAGAGGAACTACCAGCCTTCTTGTCAAGTTTTTTCTCTTTTTTTAAAGGGAGCAAGAATATGAAAAACATATCACCCCCATAGCATATATCCTGTATCTTGGAGTTCTACCAGTTGAAGCCTAACACTGGATCTTGCCCAATGTCTGTGCCCTGTGACATTCCTCAGAAATCTCTGCAGAAATTCCTTGCCAGAGGGCTTTATCTGAAAGCCACAAATAGAAATATATACCAGTTATGACTGATAATTGAGAAATACACACATAGATAGACTAGTGTGGGGTTTCGGTGGAATGAAACAAATGAGCAATGGAATTGCAACAGAGTAAATGAGTAAAAATGGGAAAAGACATTCCAATTTAGCTATCTTCAAAAGGTAACAACACATCTGAGGTCTAAATAGGTTCCATTAAGACCATTTAGATGAGTTACAATCATAGTTTAAATATCTCTGCATTTTGGAAATTGTTCTACTCCCTTGCTGTGATTGAAAACTTTAAAAGAAAGTAATTCAGAAATTTAAAATAGAAAGCAAACAAACAAATCTGATGTTTCCTGGTTTCCCAGCAAGAAGGGTATGGCCTTTCAGTCCCTCTGGAACCTCACCTGTCTTCCATGTTTTTGTTGGCTGTTTTTCCGGTTGCCTCCAGCTTGGATGTAAATTATACTTCCTTTGCGCAGACCTGAAGTACCAAACATTCTGCAATCAATTAATACATAACATACATCACTACTGTATTTTAGAGGTCCCTCAAGTTATGCTCTGAATGTGGCTCCAAATACTCTTCTATTGCAATACTAGGCCAACAGGCCTTCTTAAGTCAAGCCTTTGCAAGCTGAAGATTGTCTTACAGAACAGGGATGATGTTCTGTGGATAGTATTGCTAAACATTATTAGTTCCCTATTTATTTTAAGATGCAGTCGAGAATAACCTTCAAACACTTTGGTCTGACACAGTACCACCATTTGCTTCCTGCAAAGCACTGCTTCCTTCAGAAATCTCCTCTCCTCTTATAGCCATCGACCATGCTTCTATGCTACAGCCCCCTCATAAAATTCAAGCTCCCTGTACTGTGGTTTGTAAAGAATATAGTATACATCCAGGGGTAGAATCTAACTAATATTGCTAAAGGAAGGAACAATCCACTTTAAAGAGGCACATGTATAGGTTACCAATTCTCAGACCAAGGGTTACAGGAAGCCAGCACTGCATCTGAACCCCCGTGAATGATGTCAGTTCTAAGCTTTGAACTTATAACTTCTTCCCTCTTTTTTGTCCCTTTGTTACCTATATTAGCAAATTTTGTTATATAAAATCTGCCCTAAACAACTGATTCTATCTAAACTATGCTTATGCTGTGGCATTCCATACAAATTCACAACTGAAATTATCACAATAAGTTTTTTTCATAGTAGCTACATTTTAATGACTTTAGCACTCAATGTTTCCATTCTGAAATTTCTCTTCTCAAACCACTGTAGCCAGAAAGGCCTTATTAATAAAAGAACAGATACAGTATTCCATATGGAGCAAAGGCGAAATTATTTGAAAACTGGGCAGGCCTCCTTAATGAAAGATTTTTGCCCATTTATTTGGAATGATATAGCTTTAAAATGTGCAACGAATCTCTTCAACTAGGGGTCAAAAGATGTTCCCGTGCCATGAACCAGAAGGACAAAATAGGCTGTGCCTCAGTGACAACAGGTAATAGTGTAATAGGCAATGCAATCAAGTTTGCAGAAAGATTTGAACCACATGTTCCAAGAACAAAAATAACTACTCACTGCTGGAAATTAGGAAGAAATCTTTTTCATCTGCCTACTTATGGAGAAAACTTTGCAAACATTATTTTTGGCATACTCTAAGGCACAACCTGACAACCAGTTCTAAATAGCACAAACACATCCTCTTCAGAAAACGAATGAGACAAAACATTTCTTCAAGGCAATTATCTACAGTATTGGATTCTGAAGTAGTTTCATTTACCATTTATCTCAAATTCGTACAACTGTACATGCCTGTGTATTTTCCTTTTCTGTGCCCTGCTAACAGGTATTCCCTCTATCTGCTAAAGTTCCTGGTAGGCAGCCTAGAAACAGATTGAACACATATTAGTGTTCTTTACTGAAGACACCCCATGTGTCATGGACGCCCAAATAGGTGTTCATAACTTTTGAATAGATAACTATTGAACTTTGCTTCTAAGCTGAAATTCCACACACTTAACCTCAAAATAAGTCAAACTGATTTCAGTGTGGCTTCTGCATGATTGCACTGTGAATCACACTTGCTTGGAAATTTGCACTATTGTTAAAATGCTTGAGAGCTGATTTAGCAGAAAAGTAACTAATGAACCTACCTGTATATACTGAGAGTATTTTCCATTAACACTCTCTTTACAAAATTGAATTTTGAGACCAAGTGTTTGAAAATGGAAAAATAAAAACCCAAGGATCAAGATCCTACTGAATGCTAATGAAGTGCAAAGACCTGCTGTTATGCAGAGCAGGATCATTGCTACTTGCTGTTGTGCAAATGGTGATTGCCAGCTGAGATGACATCAGTTTGCAAAACTTGTTGTGGGAGAAATGAAAATGTCAAACCTCTTGCACTATGATTCACTGTGTTTGTTTCATGTGACAGAGTCCTAGTGAAAAACACAAAGTGAAATACCATTTATTATATGTGAAAGTACCTAAAGTACATGTGGTACTGCATACAGATGAAAATATATGGGTCTCTTTGTATGCTCAAATATCTCCAAATATTTAAAATGCATATAAGCTCTCAAATATTTTCTAACAGTAAAAGCATTTTCCACTATGATAACTAATTAAAAAAATCTACCTTTTCGGCCCAGCTCTTCAGAGAGAAATTCACCTCACCAGCACACTCTATCTCCTTTTCCGTTCTGCTTCAAGCATGCCAAGGCCTTAATGTAGTCTTCCTCAACCTGGTGCCCTTCAGATGTAATGGATTACACATTCCTTCATGCTAATACATCTGGAAGGCACCAGACTGGAGAAGCCTGCTCTAATCAATCAATAATCAAACTTCTGTTGATGATTTATATATGGGCCAGTTAAATTGCATTAACCCACTGAGGCATGCTGTTGTTAACTAAAGGGGAACCAGGTGCATTACAAGACACCTATTGAGCAAAGAATGGCACATCTCATCACACAGCTGACTCGTTAGTTAGCAGCAATTTTCCACAGTGAGTTGCATAATTCTATTTACATATGTGTAAACTACGAAGAGGAGTCTGGCCTCTGTCCTTTCTTCCACCCTGACATAAGGCAGTGCATTCATACAAATTAAAGCAGCCCACTCGTGAAATTTCTACATGATTTTAGCAGGACTGTATAATATAAAACCAAAGATTAGAGGGAGTGTGGACCATTTATGTTAGTGTTTTATGTTAGTAAAGAATAATTTGTACTCTTTGCAAGCACTATCCAATTCTGAGGTCTAAAACAGATGTTAATATATCAGTCCTCTCTGGCACACTTAAACTCTTGTTGCTACACTAGCTATAGGGTTACAAAGGTGGAAACTTTGAAATAACCTAGCTTCTAAGAAACTGATGTTGGCTTTTAGGAATTTACAATATTTTTTCTGATGATCCCTTAGCAACTGCTGTTCTCCTGGAGCAAAACATCCTGCATGTCGTTCAATACAACTAATAATAACACATATTGAACACATATTGACCTCCACAGAAGTACCAGAGATCTGGAACAATGAATAAACTGAGGAAAGCTCTTTAAGATGTAGCAATTTGCTAAGAAGTTCAGAATGAATACAGAGTATCTTAAATACATCACTATCTTGGACAGGTAAAACCTGTTCCTATGAGATAAAAGAGCGCTCCCCTCCCATTCACATAAAATCTTGTAACTCTAATTGTGTGAGAGTCTCAGTACTCTGCTTGAAAAGTCATAGCCACCTTCCAAATGTGTTTATTACAGCTTTGGCAACAGAGTGAGGCCCACGGAGGGTTACAGGATAGCGAACAGGACAGCTGCACAAGCAATGGTGATTCATCAGTGCCTGCAAGAAATTACGACATTTGCCAACTAATGTGTATATTATTATAGTGACTGATGAATGAAGCAATGGGGGGAAAAACCATAACAGAAAAAAGGAGGGAAATCGCAGCGATTAAGTGATGAGGACGATCAAGGAGAAGCAATTCCTGCCAAATTGCAGGTGAGGATACGGAAAACGAGTACAGTATGTGTCTGGAGCGCGGGGGAGAGGGAGTGAGAAGGAGAGAGAAATAACCTGAAAACATTAATAAAGCATTGATTAGAGAAATGATAATGACTACTGGATGGGGATGGGGTGTCCCTCTAGGGGAGGAGGCAAGGAAGATCGGGCTGTCACAAAAGGCTGGCCGGGGCTGGGGAGGAAGGAGCGGGAGGGCTGCTGCTTGGGCTCAGGGATGCCCGGAGCGACGGGAGGGCCAGGATGAGGACGAGGCCGGAGGTTCCTGGCCAGCGGCCGGGGGAGAAGGGGGTTGAGCAGGGATCTCGGAGCGATCGGCAAAGCTAGCGGCCAGGTCTTGGGGATACCGCGCAGGCTGGGAGTCGGGGTTCAGTACCTGCGGCGCTGTCCAGGCGAGGCTGGAGCCCGAAGGAACGGGAGGAGCCGCACCGAGCCTCCGCCGTCCCTCCTCCCCCCGAGTCCAGCTCGGGCCGGGGACGCCGGGAGCAGCGAGTACTGTACACGGAGGGAGCCTAGAGCGTCACTCGCAGCCAGGAGGACCCCGTGCCCAAGACGGCCGGTGGGGAGGAGGGCAGCTGGCACGCGCCCGCATAGACTCTCTCTTTTTTTAAAGGGTAGACTGATCATCCCACTGTTCAAAGACGAGACTTCGCACTCACTTCCGACGCCATTTTCCCCCTCTCTGCTACCGGCTCTGTGTGTGTTTGTGTCTGTCGAACAACATCTTGCCTTCAGGAGAACATTGTGCGGACACCCAATGCATTCCACGGGTTGGGCAGCGGCGTGAAGTAAACGGTAGCAAAGGCAGCAACTCGTGTTGTTTCGAACTCACGGCTTGTAGCATTTCAATTTTTATAGGTTTCGGGGTTTAAGAAATTGCTATGCGCTGCAAATGTAAGACAGTTTGCAAGCACACCAGCAGTGCTGCTTAGGTTAGGGGACTGAAGGTGAGCGTTAATGGCTTCCAAACAGCCCAGTACGCCTCATATTGTAAATTAGAGAGGATGTAAAGACTGCAAGAGAACTTGACAACAGCCTTTTAATGTAGCCTATGGTTATTATTGACATATTGTGTTTAGGACGGGGCGGATTGAAAATACATGGAACTTGCGTTGTAGACCAATATCACGGTTGCTCGGCGTGATACATCTTTTTTTGAGGTTGGGGGAAACACACCGATGACAGAAAAGCTGCAAAACTGACAGCCAAAGTTAGTTGATGATCAACCCTCTCCCACGGGGAAGGGGAGCACTTATAAGTTCCAAAATATCTTCCCAGTTTAGTCGTTCTTACTTAAGAAGCCTTCCACCTCATTCCCGGGGGAATGGGTGCTAATAATCACAACAATGTCCTGTTGGAAAAGAACCACGAAGACCAAGGTTGGGCAATGTCTTTATTCGGTCACTTAAAAGGTACAAAGGAGGCTTAAAGGTATTGCCCAACGTCGGACTTTGTTGCTATGAATGGATCCCACCGGTATTTATTTATTTATTTATTTGGTTGTTGTGGTTTTTTCAGGCTCTTTGACCGTGTTCTGAAGGTTGTTTTTCCTGACGTTTCTCCAGTCTCTGTGGCCGGCATCTTCAGAGGACTGGAGTAGGAACTCTGTCCATGCTGTTGGAGATTGAACTCCTTCAAAGTGATAAATTATTTGATTATTTGGTTGTTGTAGGTTTTTTGGGCTGTTTGTGTTTCGGCCAAACACCCTGGAAAACCTACAACAACAATCGGATCCCAGCCATGAAAGCCTTCGAGAATACGTATTTATTTATTTATTCGAAAATAAAGTCTTGTGACATCTTAAAGCCTAATACATTTTATTTGGCATAAACATTCCTGGATTGCAGCCCACTTCTGTTGTTAATTGTCATACTGATCTACAGCACTGCTGAGGTTATCAAGATTCAGCTGCCACACACAGCGGAGTTGTAGCCAAACCACAAACAGGCCTTAACTGAATGCAGGTGCTGTATATCCCCCTGTTATTCATGCATGAACATTGCACTTCTTGCCCTCCTGCAGCCTAAAATGGAAAGCTCCTAGTCATACAAGATGCTAGTCACTTTCTGTGACCAAGCAGGCATGTGGAAGTGGGCACTTACTGCATGGTGAAGCTGGAGGATTGCTGCACTACTTGCCCAGGGTAGGTTTTAATCATCAGGAACACAAGTGAAGGTATCCAATTCTAGCTTGACATTTTCACCTCTGGATCATCATGTTATGTATAATCTTCCAAGTGCAAGGCTTACTTTGATCCACTGCTCAGCCATGCAACCTATCTCCAAACACCAGAATTTGCTACCAGGATTGATAAAGTTGTGGAATAATGATTAAATACCTTCGAGTATATAAAAAGTGACTTCCAGGTATGACTGTAGGAAAGAGTTGCGAGAAGCCTTTGTGGATCCATTCTCTCCAAGTTTTCAGACACAACATATTAACATTTTATGGGAAAGGATTAAATCCTTGCTCTTGTGACAGCAGCCCTTGAGTCCCAAACTAGTTTTTCTGGAGTCACACCCTGGTACCTGCTAACACTGACGAACCCCTTAAAGGTCCCCTCATATATCTGGGATTAGTCCAAGAAAATAGGTGCAAGAATAGTGTAAGGCTCCTAACTAGTGCACTATGTGGAGGGGTGGGAAATGAGAAACATTGTTTTGCATTTTCTTTGTGATAGGAACGTTCAGGTGCCCATATCAGTAACTGCTCCTGACCTTCAAAACTCCCTTTTGATGGAAGCTAGTCTCCCTCCCTCCCTCCCTGTTCTTCTCTGGCAGACAAACACCTTTTGTATGTTTGTGTGTTTAGTCGTTTAGTCGTGTCCAACTCTTCGTGACCCCATGGACCAAAGCATGCCAGGCCCTCTTCCTATCTTCCACTGCCTCCAGGAGTTGGGTCAAATTCATGTTGGCAGCTTCGATTACACTGTCCAACCATCTCGTCCTCTGTCATTCCCTTCTCTTGCCCTCACACTTTCCCAACATCAGGGTCTTTTCCAGGGAGTCTTCTCTTCTCATGAGATGCCCAAAGTATTGGAGCCTCAGCTTCAGGATCTGCCCTTCCAGTGAGCACTCAGGGGTGATTTCCTTCAAAGTGGATAGGTTTGTTCTCTTTGCAGTCCAGAGGACTCTCAAGAGTCTCCTTCAGCACCATGATTCAAAAACATCAATTCTTTGGTGGTCAGCCTTCTTTATGGTCCAGCTCTCACTTCCATACATTGCTACTGAAAAAACCATAGCTTTGACTATGCAGACCTTTGTCGGCAAGGTGATGTCTCTGCTTTTTAAGATGCTGTCAAGGTTTGTCATCACTTTCCTCCCAAGAAGCAGGTGTCTTTTAATTTTGTGGCTGCTGTCTAATAAAGGCCTGTAAGTTTAGCAGGCCTTTATAAGTTAGTGGACTGCTCAGCAAGAGACTCTTATTAGGGTGCTGTACTATTTTTATTAAAGTTCTTTTAAAGTGCTTTGTAATCCAGTTGTTTTAATATTCTACCTTATTTTGTTGTAATGTACTCCTTTTAATACTCCTGTGAACTGCCTTGAGAATCAATTCTGAGAGAAAGACATGGCAACAAATGTTATGAATAAATAAATAATTGTAGAAACCTAACTCAAAGAGGTTAGATATAGGTGGAAGCCTTTTCTGCCAGCAGAAATCTCCTTATCCTGGCAGGAATGTCCTTGTTTGGCAAAACCACCTTCTGCTAGTTAATCTCAGAGGTCTGCCAGCAAAACACCTCTGCCTGGTAAGAGCTGGTGGCAGAAGCAGCAAAAATGAGTTAGAGTGATGGAGGTGTCAAATCATGCCAGATTAAAATCTCTTCCAGCCTAGGGACACAGCCACTATGCCGGCACACACTTGGGATGGTTGGGATTCAACACAGTATTGGTTAACTTAATTGGTCAACGGCGATCTGAGTTAATTAATTCATAGGGTTGCTATTAAGTCAGAAATGGTTTGATGACTGATAGCAACAACAGGACTGTGCTAAGTTTCCATGTTATTAGTCAGGGGTCTCCAATCTTTTCAGAGTGAGGGCCACAACATATATGTTCCAGATTGCTGAGGGCCAAACACGTCCATGCATATGCACTCCTGCCCACCCGCCTGCACACACTCATGCCCACCCACATGCACTCCAGCATGTCCTCGGCAGTTGAGGGAATACCACATTTCCCGTGTATAAGACAATACTTTTGTCTAAAATCTTTAGACTAAAAATTGAGGATTGTCTTATACACTGAAGTAAGCTGAGGAGAGAACAAAATGGCACATACCTTGCCTCTGCAAACAGGCTTCCTTCAGTCAAGAGGTTTAGCTTCCTCCAATCACGAGCCTTATGTAACTGATGTCAGCTGATGCTGTACAAACCAATTAGAACACACCTCATTAGAGGTGGAACCTGTAGGCAGTGCTCAGATTCAACAGGGATTCATAATGTCTGAGTGTTCTGAGCCCAAAGGCTGGATACTGAAAGCTAAGTTTTACATCTGTGAAAATAATTTTATTTTCTGTGTTTTTTCCCTTTTACCATGCTATATATAGAGGATTTGCTATTATCTATGGTTTTCACTATCCACTGGCTTAGAAACAGTATCCATGGCTCGGAACCAATCCCAAGCAGATATGGGGGGAGGGGGGTCTTACTGTATTAACTACAGATGTCATGTGACAGTTTGTTTCATGCAACCAATCATCAGTTCCCTTTATGCACACTACCATCATTTTCGCTGTTGTGTGAACAGCTTTGATGATTTTCAGCCAAATGTGAGAACTGCTTTCACAAGAACATTATTGCACTCTGAGTGAAACAAAACCTTAAATTTGGTGTACCTGAAACTGATGGAATGATGAAACACACATGTGAATTAAGCCTAACCTGGCCCCTAAGAGATAGGGCAGAGGTTAGATTCTAAATTCATAATTTTTAATTCTATTATTCAACAACTTTCTAGAATGTCTTCTGTAACTCACCAGTGCATCTGGGATCTAGATAAGTCAAAAAAAATCTTGCTGATATTCTGTATATGTAGATAAGCAGGACAGGATAATTTCTGAGAAAGAAAGAATGCACGAGCAGTTTACTGCTCCAGCTGAATTCGCAATCCCATTTCTCTAAGAAGAAGAAGAAGAAGAAAAGAACCCAATAACTATGTTTGAGACAATATCAAAGACAACCTTGGGTGGGGAGCGGGGGGAAGAAACCAGTTGGTAGCAAGAATCTGCAAGGTGTAGTGAGTAACACAACTCATGGTCGTATTTTCTATTAATCGACATCATGTTCCGAAAAAACATCCTTGGGTGAAAGACCTTCCTTTTGTCCCACCCAATGGTTGGATGGCTCATAATAATTTAAGACTTTTGCCTGTGAAGACATGAAGATACATTTAGAGGTACAGTCTGGGCATACACCATAATGCACTGCACTCAAGCCAAGCCAAGGCACAATAGTTGTCAAACAACTCACTTACATATTTTATGTTCCTCCAATACAGATGGAACAGCACTCACAATACAAATAGT